GCCAACGCCGGTCAACGCGTAACCCTAGGTCAACGCCAGTCAACGCGTTGCGACCAAAAGTCAACGTTCGACGATTCGAAACCCTAGGGTCAACGCCGATCAACGCGTAACCCTAGGTCAACGCCAGTTAACGCGTTGTGAAAAAAAAGTCAACGTTCGACATTCGAAACCTTAGGGTCAACGTCGGTCAACGCGTAACCCTAGGTCAACGCCAGTCAACGCGTTGCGATCAAAAAGTCAATGTTCGACGTTTGAAACCCTAGGGTCAACGCCGGTCAACGCGTAACCCTAGGTCAACGCCAGTCAACGCGTTGCGACCAAAAAGTCAACGTTCGACGTTCGAAACCCTAGGGTTAACGCCGGTCAACGCGTTGCGACAAAAAGTCAACATTCGACGTTCGGAACCCTAGGGTCAACGCCGGTCAACGCGTAACCCTAGGTCAACGCCAGTCAACGTGTTGTGACAAAAAGTCAACATACGATAATCTGAAACCTTAAGTCAGCACAATATGACAGAAATAGTCAATTCAAAGTCAACTCAATGATACGAGCCAAACTCAACTCACTAGTGATAGACTCGAGATTCCGACGACGGCCAGGCGATAAACGCAGTGCCGGAAGAACTTCGGTTATTCGTCAAAGCATCGAATAGACCGAAAATCGAAGGAGCCAAGAGTTGAAGCTAACTACAGGTCCTTTACACCGACTGAAAGCTGGATCAATCACATCCAAAATATTCCAGCCTCTTCTATAAAAGAAACGAGTCTGGAACGCTTTAAAGGGGGTATCTGTAGGCATCGAAAATTGCCTATAGGTCTCCACGAACAGCTCAGTGTTAAGGAACGACAATGAACATCACTATCTGGTTCACAGGAGTTCGACTGATGTCGGTGAACGCTTGAAGTGAACCGACGAACTACGTGAGCTGACAGGATTTCGGAATAACGAAGACACAGGCTAATCGAGAACCCCGTGATGTTTACAAAAGGAACAACACCCTTCGTGTCTCATGCATTCAATAGATGATCTAATCATTGGAGCTTATAGAACACCGCGTTGGCTTCCCAACGCAATTTGAATCGTTCAAATCCGAGTTCGGATGAAGAAGTTACGGCGAAAACGAACAAACGGGCATAACGGAACGTCTCAGGCTGAACTGAGACACCCGAGGTGTCTCGGACATTGTGGAGCTATTTTGACCATGATTTGTTTTGAATATGAAGAAACTCAAAATAGGAAAGTTGTAGATATTTTTGTCAGCTTTCCATCAAATCCGGAATCAGATCATTTGGAGGTCATATGAGGAAGTTATGACTAAAATAGCGCCGAGACATCCTTGGGGTGTCTTGACTTGGCCGAGACACCCTAAGGTGTCTCAGAACTTGTGGAGCTTTTTTGACCATGATCCGTTTTGAATCTGAAGAAACTCAAAATAGGAAAGTTGTAGATATTTTGTCAGATTTCCATCAAATCCGGAATCAGATCATTTTGAGGTCATATGAGGAAGTTATGACTAAAATAGCGCCGAGACACCCTTGGGGTGTCTTGACTTGGCCGAGACACGCTAAGGTGTCTCGGAACTTGTGGAGTTTTTTTGATCATGGTCCGTTTTGAATATAAAGAAACTCAAAACAGGAAAGTTGTAGATATTTTTGTCAGCTTTCTATCAAATCCGGAATCAGATCATTTGGATGTCATATGAGGAAGTTATGACCAAAATACTGAAGAGGGTACAGACTGTCTCGCACAGGTGCGAGACACCCCGAGCTGTCTCGCACTTGGGACGTGTTTTTGACGATTTGTGGTTTTAACCGCTCTGCAACCCCTGATGCCTATAAATACAAGCCTTAGGCCTCATTTTTTCAGATCTGGAATTTTGGAGAATTGGCGAAGCCCTGCCGGAGTGAAGAGTGATCGAGCACTTCAACGCAAGAGAGTTTCTTCGTCAGATCTACATCACCCGTACCCGATCCTTAGTATTGTCCCTTTGCGATAATACTAAGAAGAGCAAATATCTTGCTTTATCCGAGATAGGCGCTTCAAGTTTCTAGATCTCCTCGCGGATCGACGAAGCTCTGGATCAGATCTGATTGCCAGGTAGTCCACGGATATCGACGTCCCCGTCACAGGCAACTTTCGAACGGATCTTGTGTTTATTTTCAAGAAAGTTGTAATTTTTATTTCTTTGTTGTTCGAATTCATTTGTAATGTTTGAAGTTTAATGAAATCAATGATGAATGCAACTTTCGACGAAAACACACCTAACACGCGTTGCCGGTTTAGTCTTTCACCGATTGAAAAAGACACCAGAATCCAGTCTGGGGAATTTTATCCCGAAGCCTAAGTAGGGATAAGTCAACGCCTAATACGCGTTGCCGGTTTAGTCTTTCACCGATTGAAACAGACACCAGGGTACAATTCTGGGGACTTTCATCCCGAATTCTAAGTAGGGATGAGTCAACGCCTAATACGCGTTGCCGAATGCCATGTTCCCGTAAGAAATGGCGAAGTCTATGTATTCAAAGTCATAGCATCAAGTCTAAGAGAAGCAATTCTCTTAGCACAACGTTACATGTGAAACGGGTTTTAATAATTCACATGCTAGCCCGATTCAAACGGTAATCGGTAAAGGCACATCAAACCCGTTAATGGCTGGGGGTTTGCCAAAAATCCCAAAGTCTATGTCTAAGCATTAAAAGAGTTAACTCTTTTAGCACAACGTTATGTGCAGAACGGATCTAAACAATCTGCATGCTAGCCCGACTCAAACGGTAGTCGGTAAAGGCTCATCAAACCCGTTGATGGCTGAGAATTTGCCAAAAATTCTATAAGTGCGAGTTATTGATGCATCAGCTCTGTTAGTTGGTCTCGTGACTCGATTATCCAACAACATTAAAATAAGATCCACAAATGCAGATGAATCAGCTTTAACAGTTAGTCCTGCAACCCCGACACTTGGGACCGCTGTGCTCCAATACCTTAAGAGCTTAAACTATGTATACTCCAGTAAACGTACGAGTATAAACTGTGTCAACGTACGACGTTCGAAACCCTAGGGTCAACGCCGGTCAACGCGTAACCCTAGGTCAACGCCGGTCAATGCGTTGCGACAAAAAGTCAACATTCGACGTTCGAAACCTTAGGGTCAACGCCGGTCAACACGTAACCCTCGGTCAACGTCAGTCAACGCGTTGCGACCAAAAAGTCAATGTTCGACGTTCGAAACCCTAGGGTTAACGCCGGTCAACGCGTAACCCTAGGTCAACGCCGGTCAACGCGTTGTGACAAAAAAGTCAACGTTCGATGTTCGAAACCCTAGGGTCAACGCCGGTCAACGCGTAACCCTAGGTCAACGCCAGTCAACGCGTTGTGACCAAAAGTCAACATACGATAATCTGAAACCTTAAGTCAGCACAATATGACAGAGGTAGTCAATTCAAAGTCAACTCAATGACACGAGCCAAACTCAACTCACTAGTGGTAGACTCGAGACTCCGACGACGGTCAGGCGATAAACGCAGCGCCGGAAGAACTTCGGCTATTCGTCAAAGCATTGAATAGACCGAAAATCGAAGGAGCCAAGAGTTGAAGCTAACTACAGGTCCTTTACGCCGATTGAAGGCTAGACCAATCACATCCAAAGTATTCCAGTCTCTTCTATAAAAGAAACGAGTCCGGAACGCTTTGGAGGGGGTATCTATAGGCGTCAAAAATTGTCTATAGGTATCTACGAACAGCTCAGTGTTAAGGAATGACGATGAACGTCGCTATCCGGTTCACAGGAGTCCGATTGACGTCGGTGAACGCTTGAAGTGAATCGACGGACTACGTGAGCTGACAGAATTCCGGAATAACGAAGGTGCGGGCTAATCGGGAGCCCCGCAATGTTTACAAAGGAAACAATGCCCTTTGTGTCTCATTCATTCTACAGATAATCCAACCATTGGAGCTGATAGAACTCCTTGTCGGCTTTCCAACGCATTTGGAATCACTCAGATCCGGGTTCAGACAAAGAAGTTACAGCGAAAACAGTCAAACGGGCATTGAAAACGTCTCAAAGCTGAACTGAGGCACCTACGGTGTCTCGGCCAAGTCAAGACACCCCAAGGGTGTCTCGGCCAGGCCAGGACACCCCTAGGGTGTCTCAATGCAGTTTTGACCCCTTTAAGCAGTTTTAACCGCTCCGCAACCCCTCATGCCTATAAATACAAGCCTTAGGCCTCATTTTTTTCAGATCTGGAATTTTGGAGAATTGGCGAAGCCCTGCCGGAGTGAAGAGTGATCGAGCACTTCAACGCAAGAGAGTTTCTTCGTTAGATCTACATCACCCGTACCCGATCCTTAGTATTATCCCGTTGTGGTAATACTAAGAAGAGCAAATATCTCGCTTTTATCGAGATAGGCGCTTTAAGTTTCTAGATCTCCTCGCGGATCGACTAAGCTCTGGATCAGATCTGATTGCCAGGTAGTCCATGGATATCAACGTCCCCGTCACAGGCTAAAGACCCACGCAAGCAAGAGACGGCGAACGGATCTTGTGTTTATTTTCAAGAAAGTTGTAATTTTTATTTCTTTGTTGTTTGAATTCATTTGTAATATTTGAAGTTTAATGAAATCAATGATGAAGGCAACTTTTGACGAAAACAAGTGTACCAAAGCAGTTTTTGATCTTAGAGGAGCTTACAAGTTTCTTAATGATGGAGGTCCAATATCATTAGCCTGACGGATCCGGATCCACTAGTTCTGACTTTTTACTTCAAATATACCCAAACTCGAAACAGGATCCAAACCCATTATCAGGACCAGTATTTATATGCTTAACTACATTCTCTTTTGAAAGGACAATCTTTGGTTAATTAATACTTATATATCCCAAATCCAACTTCAAATTTCTGATTAAAACGACTATTGATGTCCACATAAGAGAAACTTCACAGAGAGACAAACGGCAAGGCGAAGAGAACATAAAAAATCGTAACAGCTGGAAGAAAAAGTTAAACCTGCAAAGTCTTCAATCTTCCTTTTATCTTTTTCTTTATGAAATGCTCTTCTTTTGCCTGCAGCAAGAACAGTGAGCAATTAAAATAAAGTGGGGTAGAAGGAAGGAGGCAATCAAAGATGTGTAATCATCAAGACATCCTGAAATGTACATTAACAAATGAAAATTTGTACTAATATTTGGTGGTTAGGAGCAAAAGTTATAAATTTTATTTAGGTTATCAATTGAAAATCCAAGGTAAGAACTTTTATAAGTAGTATAAAAACAAGGGAAAAATATGTCCAGGCCCCAAAAACATAAACTTCATGTGCTGCAGCCCCTTCTAGTTTCCCTCATGTGGTTCAGCCCCTTGAAGTGTGACGTTTTGTGCTGCAGCCCCTTTTTAACAATTATTACATGCCAACTAAGCTAAAATCCCCAAAATAACCTTACCCCCTCTCCTCAATTCTTCAAACCCAGTTCTCTCTCTCTCTCTCCCCCCTCTCTCTCCCCTCTCTCTCTTTAAAAACAAGGGTTTTATCAAGCTCGTCGCTCTGGCCCTCGCCGTCGCCACCTCCGCCCAGGCTCCCAAGCCTCCCCCGAGTTCGTCGTCGCCTCCCCTCCTCTCCTCCGCCCGACCTCGTCGCGGTAGCTCGCCGTCGCTCCCCATCTCGCCTTCGACTACGCCGGAGTTCGTCGTTGTGCCTGCCACCTTTGAACCCATAGTATGGTAGGCCGGAGGAGGATGACCAAGAGAAAAGAGTGCATGATGCTCAAGAAAAGTAAAAATGAAGGGGACAGAATAGAACTCACATTGTGCAGATTAGAACTAACACTGTAGACAGAATAGAACTAACATTGTAGACAGAATAGAACTAACATTGTAGACAGAATAGAACTGTAGACAGAATAGAACTAACATTATAGACAGAATAGAACTAACATTGTGCAGATTAGAACTAACACTGTAGACAGAATAGAACTAACATTGTAGACAGAATAGAACTGTAGACAGAACAGAACTAACATTATAGACAGAATAGCATATTCTTGTACTTTAACTTGGAACTAGATGCAACTTATGACTCTGTCTAGTTTCTGGTATTGGTTTATGATTCAACAAATGAGCATGCTCATATTCTTTACAGAAATTTACACCCTGTCATTAGATTGAAATAGAGCATTCTGGCTGTTTCGTCATTGGTTGACAATAACAGTATCAGTTTCTTAATGTATTCCTCTGTCTGTTTAAGCTCTCGAGCTGGACTTCTGGATTACTATAGACATGTAGTTCGTTTGCATACAAGTTTTAGTGGTTTGAAATTGACTACGTGGTTACAGTTTTCTATTTTGGAAATGGGAACGTATCGTAAATCATGCAGCATTTTGCTCCTTGGCAACATTTTGGCTGACTACTATTCTCAATTCTGTAAACAGGAACCATGCTTTGAAAATGGGCAAAAGCAGCAGGAAGACTCTACACAATTGTCACGAGTGTGAAGAATCTGCGAGACATGCCGGAATGCCTCAATCTTTACTTCGAATCCCTTCAACCAAGTTTGTAATTGACCCAACAACTTTCTTATAGGGTGATTGTATTTTGGACAATTCTGGACAGAAATAATTGTGGTTGGTAACACCAGAAATTACAAACTCAATAAGCGGCACGAACTTGGTTGAAGGGATTCGAAGTAAAGATTGAGGCATTCCGGCATGTCTCGCAGATTCTTCACACTCGTGACAATTGTGTAGAGTCTTCCTGCTGCTTTTGCCCATTTTTAAAGCATGGTTCCTGTTTACAGAATTGAGAATAGAAGTCAGCCAAAATGTTGCCAAGGAGCAAAATGCTGCATGATTTACGATACGTTCCCATTTCCAAAATAGAAAACTGTAACCACGTAGTCAATTTCAAACCACTAAAACTTGTATGCAAACGAACTACATGTCTATAGTAATCCAGAAGTCCAGCTCGAGAGCTTAAACAGGCAGAGGAACACATTAAGAAACTGATACTGTTATTGTCAACCAATGACGAAACAGCCAGAATGCTCTATTTCAATCTAATGACAGGGTGTAAATTTCTGTAAAGAATATGAGCATGCTCATTTGTTGAATCATAAACCAATACCAGAAACTAGACAGAGTCATAAGTTGCATCTAGTTCCAAGTTAAAGTACAAGAATATGCTATTCTGTCTATAATGTTAGTTCTGTTCTGTCTACAGTTCTATTCTGTCTACAATGTTAGTTCTATTCTGTCTATAATGTTAGTTCTATTCTGTCTACAGTTCTATTCTGTCTACAATGTTAGTTCTATTCTGTCTACAATGTTAGTTCTATTCTGTCTACAATGTTAGTTCTATTCTGTCTACAATGTTAGTTCTATTCTGTCTACAATGTTAGTTCTATTCTGTCTATAATGTTAGTTCTATTCTGTCTACAGTTCTATTCTGTCTACAGTTCTATTCTGTCTACAGTTCTATTCTGTCTACAGTTCTATTCTGTCTACAGTTCTATTCTGTCTACAGTTCTATTCTGTCTACAGTTCTATTCTGTCTACAGTTCTATTCTGTCTACAATGTTAGTTCTATTCTGTCTACAATGTTAGTTCTATTCTGTCTACAGTGTTAGTTCTAATCTGCACAATGTTAGTTCTATTCTGTCTACAATGTTAGTTCTATTCTGTCTACAATGTTAGTTCTATTCTGTCTACAATGTTAGTTCTATTCTGTCTACAGTGTTAGTTCTAATCTGCACAATGTTAGTTCTATTCTGTCTACAATGTTAGTTCTATTCTGTCTACAATGTTAGTTCTATTCTGTCTACAATGTTAGTTCTATTCTGTCTACAGTGTTAGTTCTAATCTGCACAATGTTAGTTCTATTCTGTCTACAATGTTAGTTCTATTCTGTCTACAATGTTAGTTCTATTCTGTCTACAGTGTTAGTTCTAATCTGCACAATGTTAGTTCTATTCTGTCTACAATGTTAGTTCTATTCTGTCTACAATGTTAGTTCTATTCTGTCTACAGTTCTATTCTGTCTACAATGTTAGTTCTATTCTGTCTACAGTTCTATTCTGTCTACAATGTTAGTTCTATTCTGTCTACAATGTTAGTTCTATTCTGTCTATAATGTTAGTTCTATTCTGTCTACAGTTCTATTCTATCTACAATGTTAGTTCTATTCTGTCTACAATGTTAGTTCTATTCTGTCTACAATGTTAGTTCTATTCTGTCTACAATGTTAGTTCTATTCTGTCTACAGTTCTATTCTGTCTACAATGTTAGTTCTATTCTGTCTACAATGTTAGTTCTATTCTGTCTACAGTGTTAGTTCTAATCTGCACAATGTTAGTTCTATTCTGTCCCCTTCATTTTTACTTTTCTTGAGCATCATGCACTCTTTTCTCTTGGTCATCCTCCTCCGGCCTACCATACTATGGGTTCAAAAGTGGCAGGCACAGCGACGAACTCCGGCGTAGTCGAGGGCGAGATGGGGAGCGACAGCGAGCTACCGCGACGAGGTCGGGCGGAGGAGAGGAGGGGAGGCGGCGACGAACTCGGGGGAGGCTTGGGAGCCTGGGCGGAGGTGGCGACGGCGAGGAGGGCGAGGGCCAGAGCGACGAGCTTGATAAAACCCTTGTTTTTAAAGAGAGAGAGGGGAGAGAGAGAGAGAGAGAGAGAGAGAGAGAGAGAGAGAGAGAGAGAGAGAGAGAGAGAGAGGGGGTAAGGTTATTTTGGGGATTTTAGCTTAGTTGGCATGTAATAATTGTTAAAAAGGGGCTGCAGCACAAAACGTCACACTTCAAGGGGCTGAACCACATGGGGGAAACTAGAAGGGGCTGCAGCACATGAAGTTTATGTTTTTGGGGCCTGGACACATTTTTCCCTAAAAACAAAGGAAAATACTGTTTTTGCGTTCTTCATTTGGTTAATTTCCCAAAAATCAAAAAAAAAAAAAGAAAAAAAATGGGTGAAGAGGTCTTCGTAATTGTAAATGATTTTCACAAAAACAATTTTAAGTGAACGGTCAAAATTTTAAGGGAATACCTAGATCCGAGAGGCGGTTGAGGTAGCGGAGGAGGAGGCGGAGGAGGCGCGATTGGCGTCAGGCGGAGGAGGCTGCGGTTGAGGCGGCGGAAGAACTCAGAGACTCAGAGAGAGAAAGTGAGAAACGAAGGGATTTTAGGGTTTTGGGCGGGTGGGCGGGCGGGCGGGCGGGTATAGAATGCCCATTTAGACCCGTTTAATTGGATGTAAAATGCACCCGCCCGTTTAGACCCATTTAATTAAATGAGTGGGTTTTGGGCGGGCCAAATAATGGGTGGGCCAGATGGGTAAATGGGTATGAGCATAAATTGCCTTCCCTAGTTATGATGCTATTTGAGATTTGAGTTCTGATCTTTTTTGGAGCCATGGCCTTTTGTTTTGAGCTCTGTTATGATGCTAATTGAGATTAGGTTTTTTTTTTTGAAACCTGATATATTTGGGAGTCGTCTAGACTTGTGATTTGGGCTTATGTTCTGGTGCTATTTGGGATTGAGTTTTCTTTGGATTGATGAAACAATCAAATATCGTATGCAGATATTTATTGAAAAATTCCTCAAGGACCCAAAATATGGGATCAATAGAGGGGACAAGTGAGGTGTCTCACTCCTATTGGATAATGAAATGGCCATCATTAATGATGACCAACTCATTATCCAATAGGAGGGAGACAACTCACTTGTCCCCTTCATTGGTCCCATATTTTGGGTCCCTGTAGCAAAACTCATATTTATTTTGCGGTCAACATTAACTTGGAATTTATTTTCAGAGTGAGTTTCTTCAATTCTGAAAAGAGCCAAGTGTTGGCACCAGTACGTTTTCCTTTTCACTTGTAAGTGAATTTACAATGTTGTGTTCATTCTAACTTCACCAGAGATATTCTGGATAAAATTCTTTGATCTACTCAATTACCCTCTCTATAGTCTCTACAAAATTACTTTGATCTCAACCACTTTTCTTACAAGCTTCTCTTCTCAACTCCTTTCTCTTTAGTTTCCGTTCGCCTGTCTAGAGCTGAGCAAACAGTCGGTCTGGTCAGTTTTAAAAATTTTGACAAAACC